AATGACTTGCATGGACACATGGTTTTGTGTAGGAATTTTTGTTCATTTAACATTTGGCAACCAGACCAAACGAAAAAAATACATTGTAACAAATAGTCAAACTCTGATTCGACCTGCAGCTTAAAACGATGTGTGAAAACGCAGAGATGCAAACAAACACAGGCCTTTGCAAACAAACATAGGCCTTTTGTTAAGTCAAAAACAGTTCTGTCTTCGCAACGTCTATTGAACAATGGATCCATTTTGTTTCCAGGATTTGTTTGCGGATCTTTTGGCCAATCATATTTTCCACTCTCCTAGATGTCATAATCAGGCCACATTTTTAGAGGACCTGCTAGTTGATACTAAACACAGGCCTCTGTCCTCACCATTTTCAAGTTTCAAGTTTGTGTGATTAATAAATGAGTAATCATTCCCCATACCAATCTCCTTCCCCTTGAAGATCAGTCACAAGTTGCTCTCTGGTAATCATATGACTAGTAATCATATCCCCTGTAATTCTGTCGGTGATAGACAGAGAAGGAAAGGAACGAGAGAGAGAGTGAGAGAGAGAGGCAGAGAGAGAGAGAGAGGCAGACAGAGAGATCGAGGCAGAGAGATTATTATTTAATTTTTTTTTTCACCTTTATTTAACCAGGTAAGCCAGTTGAGAACAAGTTCTCATTTACAACTGCGACCTGGCCAAGATAAAGCAAAGCAGTGTGATAAAAACAACAACAACAACACAGAGTTACATATGGGATAAAGAAAAACTTAGTCAATAACACAATAGAAAAATTGAAAATCTATATATAGTGTGTGCAAATGTAGTAAGTTATGGAGGTAAGGCAATAAATAGGCCATAGTGCAAAATAATTACAATTTAGTATTAACACTGGAGTGATAGATGTGCAGAAGATGATGTGCAAATAGAGATACTGGGGTGCAAATGAGCAAAATAAATAACAATTTGGGGATGAGGTAGTTGGGTGGGCTAATTACAGATGGGCTGTGTACAGGTGCAGTGATCGGTAAGCTGTTCTGACAACTGATGCTTAAAGTTAGTAAGGGAGATAAGTGTCTCCAGCTTCAGAGATTTTTGCAGTTCGTTCCAGTCATTGGCAGCAGAGAACTGGAAGGAATGGCGGCCAAAGGAGGTGTTAGCTTTGGGGATGACCAGTGAGATATACCTGCTGGAGCGCATACTACGGGTGGGTGTTGCTATGGTGACCAATGAGCTAAGATAAGGTGGGGATTTGCCTAGCAGTGATTTATAGATGACCTGGAGCCAGTGGGTTAGACGACGAATATGTAGTGAGGGCCAGCCAATGAGAGCGTACAGGTCACAATGGTGGGTAGTATATGGGGCTTTGGTGACAAAACGGATGGCACTGTGATAGACTACATCCAATTTGCTGAGTAGAGTGTTGGAGGCTATTTTGTAAATGACATAGCCGAAGTCAAGATCGGTAGGATAGTCAGTTTTAAGAGGGCATGTTTGGCAGCATGAGTGAAGGAGGCTTTGTTGCAAAATAAGAAGCCGATTCTAGATTTAACTTTGGATTGGAGATGCTTAATGTGAGTCTGGAAGGAGAGTTTACGGTTTCTAAGTCAGACCCGCCAAGAGTAGTGATTCTAGTCGGGCGGGCGGGTGCAAGCAGCGTTCGATTGAAGAGCATGCATTTAGTTTTACTAGCGTTTAAGAGCAATTGGAGGCTACGGAAGGAGTGTTGTATGGCATTGAAGCTTGTTTGGAGGTTTGTTAACACAGTGTCCAATGAAGGGCCAGATGTATACAAAATGGTGTCATCTGCGTAGAGGTGGATCTGAGAGTCACCAGCAGCAAGAGCAACATCATTGATATACACAGAGAATAGAGTCGGCCCGAGAATTGAACACTGTGGCACCCCCATAGAGACTGCCAGAGGTCCAGACAACAGGCCCTCCGATTTGACACATTGAACTCTATCTGAGAAGTAGTTGGTGAACCAGGCGAGGCAGTCATTTGAGAAACCAAGGCTATTTAGTCTGCCAATAAGAATGATAGAGAGAGAGGCAGACAGAGAGAGAGACAGACAGAGAGCGCGAGGCAGAGAGAGATAGAGAGAGAGGCAGACAGGGAGAGAGAAGAAGACAGAGAGCGAGAGAGAAGGAGACAGAGAGCGCGAGGCAGAGAGAGAGAGCGAGAGAGAGGAAGATCAGAGATGACACCACATCATCCCCCTCCCCAGAACATCACATAATGATGAAGCTAACTGTGATGATGTGCTTTGCTGTCTGCCTGGGGGCCTATAGGGATCAGAACTCAGCAGGAAGTCTGGTTAGATCCATCCCATAATATATGGGCTCATCTGGAATCAGACCCTGTTGGCTTCATAAGGCCAAACCTCCAGTGGGTTCTGTCTTCTCCCATCGCCTTTCAACATGCTAGAGCTTGTAGCTCGTTTCTGCGTTACCACAAATATCTGACTGATTCTTTCTCTTAAAGTCAGCTGTCACCTTCCTTACAGACATATGTATGTTATCATGAATTCCCCTTTTATTAGCCATATCACAATATGCTAATTCTCACTCACATCCTCTCACAGTTAACACATGGTGCTGTATTAGTGAATTTTTAGGCTGTGTGTCAGGGGTGCCGCATTATGATTATGGATTGCGTGTGCTCCTCCCTCCCCACCCCCCTAAAAGTTACCCCACGCGTAGGAGATGAGATTAAGGGGCTTGGGTCAGCGGATTTCGGCTGGGTGACCCCCATTTGAAGCTTGCCTGCCCGCGCCCACCTAGATTAGATTGATAGGGTCAGAGTCCCCCCCTCTCCACACAATCCAGATTATAGTGATAGGATTCCCCTACTTTCTGATTGGGTTAATCCCTACTCTTAATGACGATTTAATCAAAGAGGGGATGCGGTTGATTTGGTGGGTTGAGCTTTGGGTGGACGGGGGCTAGTTTTGGAGCACACTGTATGCGGTGTGTTCTAGAACTCAAAGCGTGTGGATACAGTTTGTCGACGTAGTACAAGCTTGGTCATTTATCACCCGTTAGTGTTGAGTCTGTCTGGAAACCTAACACAGTGCTGGCCTTCAGAGAGGCATGTAGGGGCATGTTCATAAGAGACCTCCAGCTCCCTGAGTCCTGTGTTTACATTCTTCAACGCCATAAGGCTCTCCAGGCCTGTGGGTGGGTGTGTTAGCCAATGCTCCACAGTGCTAGCCTGTGTGTAGATGGGTTTTCTCTAGGTGGCCTGAGGTCCTTGACTCTTTTTTCCATGCTACAGCCAGAACCATTCCACCATTCTAGAGCCGTTCCAGGCTTCCAGTGAAAGCATACTGTTGTTCTCAACTGGAATGTTTATCTGATCAACGATGCTATCTGCTTTCCTGTAACCTCTATATCTCTCCCCAACATGTGAGATGTCCATCATGCACGAGACATGATGTCATTGTCATGGCTGGCTGTAACCCACTGAACTAGTTCTGCACAGGATATTTCATTTAACTCTGTCTGTAACTAGGTCAATTTCACAAATGTAATTTTAAAGTGCAGATTTCCCTTATTCTCTAAAGCCCTCAAACTCAACTCTGGACCTCGAAGCCAGTTCTACTGCGTTTTTTCATTCTTCCCCTAATCAGGGACAGCAGGCTCTGGACCTTGTAGGGGAAGAGTTGAAAACCCCTGCTCTAAAGGAAGGAATTACTGGGATTATGTTGAAACGCAGTAAAACTAGGAAATCTGTCCGCAGTCATGTGCGTGTGTACTGTAGCGTGTGTGTCAGGGTCAGAGAGAGAGTGAGAGGAGCTTAAAGCAAGGTCAGATGTCTGATAGCCTCAGGTGAATCCAGACGTAGGGATTGTAGTCCAGTTGAGAGACAAAATTTGAAATTTAAATCTCCAACAAATGGATCACTGTTGCTGGGGATTGGAAATGAAATCTGTAATCAGAGGGTGATTATTCAGAGAGAGAGAGAGAGAGTGAGACTCTCTGTGTGGCCGGACATTTCTGAACAGGCACTGTGATAGGGCTGTCTCGTGGTCCATTAAGAAATGAGGGTCAGTCCCGAGAGCGGAACCATTAATAGTGAAACACGCCATTAGTGACTAAGGGCCATTATAGCAGCAAAGAGGCAAAAGGGGACCAGAGAATACAAGCCCTTTCGGTTTCCTATAGCCTAAGTCTTCTGCTTTACTGGGATTTGTTCTACATTTCCTGTTTGTTTGAACTGCCTTCTGCTGGGTCTCTGGTGAGCACGTGCAGTATGGACTAGCATCCTATGGGTAGAGAGGGTGGGGGAGGAGAGAGAGTCGGTAGGGGCAAGAGATGGGGATGATGGAGGGAGGAATAGAGATGGCAGAGGAGGATGACGGCATCCAGATGGAAACTGCTATGATTGAGTGGTTATCTCTGCAGGATATACTATTTTAGGAGGGAGGGTTTTTGGTACAGCACTCTCCTCTCTGTTCTGTTTAATTGCTTCTGTCCCCAGCTGAACTTCAGCTGAACAAGTAGGTTCATTTCAAAATGGCCGAAATTCCAAATGGGAAAGGTAGCTCAGTGTCACGACCGTCTATGAAGTAGGACCAAAGCGCAGCGTTGGTAGCGAACATATTGACTTTAATGCAATACACGAGAATACAAAAAAACACGATCATGAAGTCCTCAGTGACAACGACTGAACATAGAACAAAAACCCACAAACACAAGGTGAAAACACACAGTTTAAATATGGCTCCCAATCAGAGATAACGAGCCGACAGCTGACACTCGTTACCTCCGATTGGGAGTCATTTGACCAAACACAACCAATGACAAACCAACCAAACAAAACACAACCAAAACGAACACACCCTGGCTCAAAATACAAAGTCCCGGAGCCAGAGCGTGACACTCAGGAGATCAGCTGAGTAAATCCTACATGTTGTTCACATGCATGTGCTCTTCACAAACATATTCCTACAGTAGCCTTTCCACTGCATTTACCAAACCCTAACCTCTCTCCCCTCCTGTCTCTCGCTCTCCAGGCGTTTGGACAAGCCTACTCCAACCATAAGAAGGTGGCTGCAGACGGGGAGAGCAGGGAGGAGTCTCTGATCCAGGAGGCGGTGTGTAAGGAGGCCTATTACGAGCAGCGGGTCCTGGAGCTGCAGATGGAGCTCCGCCAGGCCCGTAACATCCTCACCAACACCCAGTCAGAGAACGAACGCCTGACCTCCATCGCCCAGGAGATGAGAGAGGTAAGATGAGAAAAAAGTGGGAGAAAGTACAGATTCAGTAGCTAAATCCTACTGTAGATACGAGTTTGCATACAGACTAATATACCCCACCTACACCTGGTATTAAAATGCATCCTGTGATCAGATGATATTTTCTGGACAGCTGTAGACTATATTCACAAAAGACACATTGTAATCCTATCATGATTTGATCTATACTGAACAAAAATATAAAACGCAACATGCAACAATTTCAAAGATTTGACTGAGTTACAGGAAATTAGGATCTCACATGACTGGGAATACAGATATGCATCTGTTGGTCACAGATAACCTTTTTATAAAAAGGTTGGTGCGTCAGAAAACCAGTCAGTATCTGGTGTGACCACCATTTGCCTCATGCAGCGCGATACATCTCCTTCGCATAGAGTTGATCAGGCTGTTGATTGTGTGGCCTGTGGAATGTTGTCCCACTTCTCTTCAATGGCTGTGAGAAGTTGCTGGATATTGGCAGGACATGCGGATCCAGAGCATTCCAAACATGTTCAATGGGTGACATGTCTGGTGAGTATGCAGGACATTTTCAGCTTCCAGGAATTGTGTACAGATCCTTGCGACATGGGGCCGTGCATTATCATGCTAAAACATGAGGTGATGGCGTCGGATGAATAGCACAACAATGGGCCTCAGGATCTCGTCACGGTATCTCTGTGCATTCAAATTGCCATTGATAAAATGCAATTGTGTTTGTTGTCCGTAGCTTATGCCTGCCCATACCATAACCCCACCGCTACCATGGGGCACTCTGTTCACAATGTTGACATCAGCAAACCGCTCGCCCACACGACGCCATACACGTGGTCTGTGGTTGTCAGGCCGATTGGAAGTACTGCCAAATTCTCTAAAACAACGTTGGAGGCGGCTTATGGTAGAGAAATGAACAACCAATTCTCTGGCAACAGCTCGTGGACATTCCTGCAGTCAGCATGCCAATTGCACGCTCCCTCAAAACTTTGTGTTGTGTGACAAAACTGCACATTGTAGAGTGGCCTTTTATTGTCCCCAGCACAAAGTACACCTGTGAAATGATCATGCTGTTTAATCAGCTTCTTGATATGCCACACCTTTCAGGTGGATGGATTATCTTGGCAAAGGATAAATGCTCATTAACAGGGATGTAAACACATTTCTGCACAAAATTTGAGAGAATTAAGCTTTTTGTGTATATGGAACATTTCTGGAATCTTTTATTTCAGCTCATGAAACATGGGACCAACACTGTTGCATTTATATTTTTGTTCAGTATAAATTCTAGTTAACCACCCCATTACTGGATTTGTTTTATCGGACCATTCATGATTGGATTTGGTAATAAATATAGACTGGGTATATGAGATTAGATCCTATTGTAGACTATTATATGTGCATATATGTAAACAAAATGACACTTGCACATGCTCAACTACACAATCGCTGATAGACACACACACACACACTTTCCCCTTCACAGATACGTATGTGCGCACACGTACCCGTACTAGCATTGAAGCTTTCCCAATTGTCTATACTTGTCGTCACTTGCACAATGTTCACACCCATACATATTTGCTATACATCCAGGTAGTTTATTTATACCCTATCTGTTGCTACTAGACGACAGATCCAGACTTGCCTGACTCCAGTGCTAGCAGTAGAACTCTGCTTGGCGTGTCCAGGCAGGACTAATCACACCCTGATGGTTTCAGCCCCTGTGGTGAACTGGCACAGATCAGGCTGATTGAACGAGCGCCATAATGGCTGTTGTACTGATGTGGTCCTGTCTCTGCAGCCCTGGGGACCTGGGCGTGGCTGAAATTACAGAGAGTAGAGAGCAGGGGAATCTTAACGGCCTGTCTCTGCTGTGGCGTGATGGAGGGAAAGGTTAACAACTGCTTCTTGGTTAAAGAAAATTGTGATAAATAAAAAGGTATACCAGTTTCATTTAAGGACCAAACAATTGACAGCTGTGCCATACAAATTGCAAAATAGTTGGGAAGAGATTTTCGATGTACCGATTCCATGGCACATTGTTTATAAACTGATACACAAAACGACGCCAGATTCAAAACTTAAGAGTTTTTAAATTTAAATGTTTATACAAAATTCTTGCTACCAATAGAATGTTATATATATGGGGGACAACCATTCCAGCTCTGCAGATTTTGCTGCGAAGAGATCAGATCAGATCATTTGTTTTGGGACTGTCCATATGTAGCTTGTATTTGGTCGCAGGTTCCGGAATGGCTAAAGAATTTGAATATTTACCTGGAGTTAACGCTGTAAATAGCACTGCTGGGTGATTTAAAAATTTATAGTCAATCGATCAATAATATAATAATACTCTTAGCAAAAAATGGTATCTTTAATTTACAATCCGTAGAAACTATGAGAATAGAAAGGTTCAGAACTTTTGTGAAACATCACAGCACAGTTATGGCAAATAGAAATCAAAACTGGATGGTGTTCAGAGATAGATGGGGAGGGTTGAGGGGAGCTGAAGGGTGGGACTAAAAACCACGAACCCGTCCTCCCCAATTAAGGTGCCACCAACCTCCTGTGGTATATAGTATGTATAAGCTGGAAGTAGAAGCCTAAGTGTTGTTGGGCCATTAGTTTACTAAAATTAGGGGAGGGGTGGTAGTGTTAGGGGAAAACAATAAACAAAAATATGAAGGAAAAAATATATATATATACAGTACCAGTCAAAAGTTTGGACACACCTACTCATTCCAGGTTTTTTCTTTAGTTTTACTATTTTCTACATTGTAGAATAATAGCAAAGACACCAAAACGATGAAATAACACAGATAGAATCATGTAGTAACCAAAAAAGTGTTAAACAAATTAAAATATATTTTATATTTGAGATTCTTCAAATAGTCACCCTTTGCCTTGATGACAGCTTTGCAAACTCTTGGCATTCTCTCAACCAGCTTCCCCTGGAATGCTTTTCCAACAGTCTTGAAGGAGTTCCCACATATGATGAGCACTTGTTGGCTGCTTTTACTTCACTCTGCGGTCCGACTCATCCCAAACCATCTCAATTAGGTTGAGGTCAGGGGATTGTGGAGGCCAGGTCATCTGATGTTGAAAAACCCCCAAATGATAGTCCCACTAAGCCCAAACCAGATGGGATGGCGTATCGCTGCAGAATGCTGTGGTAACCATGCTGGTTAAGTGTGCCTTGAATTGTAAATAAATCACAGACAGTGTCACCAGCAAAGCACCCCCACACCATAACACCTTCTCCTAAATGCTTTACGGTGGGAAATACACACCGCGTCTCACAAAGCCACGGCGATTGGAACCAAAAATCTCCAATTTGGACTCCAGACCATAGGACAAATTTCTACCGGTCTTATGTCCATTGCTCGTGTTTCTTGGCCCAAGCAAGTCTCTTCTTCTTATTGGTGTCCTTTAATAGTGGTTTCTTTGCAACAATTCGACCATGAAGGCCTGATTCACACAGTCCCCTCTGAACAGTTGATGTTGAGATGTGTCTGTTACTTGAACTCTGTGAAGCATTTATTTGGGCCGCAATTTCTGAGACTGGTAACTCTAATGAACTTATCCTCTGCAGCAGAGGTAACTCTGGGTCTTCCATTCCTGTGGCGGTCCTCATGAGATCCAGTTTCATCATAGCGCTTGATGGTTTTTGCGACTGCACTTGAAGAAACTATTGAAATGTTCCGTATTGACTGACCTTCATGTCTAAAAGTAATGATGGACTGTTGTTTCTCTTTGCTTATTTGAGCTGTTCTTGCCATAATATGGACTTGGTCTTTTACCAAATAGGGCTATCTTCTGTATACCCCACCTACCTTGTCACAACACAACTGACTGGCTCAAACGCATTAAGAAATTCCACAAATTAACTTTTAAGAAGGCACACCTGTTAATTGAAATGCATTCCAGGTGACTACCTCAAGCTGGTTGAGAGCTGGTTGAGAGAATGCCAAGAGTGTGCAAAGATGTCATCAAGGCAAAGGGTGGCTATTTGAATAATCTGAAATATAAAATATATTTTGATTTGTTTAACACTTTTTTGGTTACTACAAGATTCCATATGTGTTATTTCATAGTTTTGATGTCTTCACTCTTATTCTACAATATAAAACATAGTAAAAATAAAGAAAATCCCTTGAATGAGTAGATGTTTCCAAACTTTTGACTGGTAGTGTATATATATTTAAAATAATAAATATATATATATATATATATATATATATATATATATATATATATATATGGGGTGTTGGAAATAATGCAGACAATTACATTGATAGAAGACACAATCTATTTGCAATATTAAAGCTGATCCACCACTAAAAGAAATGCTTCTTGTGAAAGGCAGATAATACTTGAGTAAAACCTCTACTATTGGCAAACTAGGCATATCAGGCATTATGCATAGTATATCTATTATGGTTACAGGTTAATTGTTGCTTTAGTAATGCATTAATGCTGTGGCACTGGTACAGGCACAAGGCCCTGAGACTATCAGCAGTGCCCATCAGCCAGCCCTGGCGTCATTGGCGTGCCTCTCCTCTCACATCAGATCTGACATCCTTCCCTGGCTTGAGAGCGCCAGCCGTGCCACCTGCCTGCCCTCTTATCCGCTGAGGGCCAGATAAGAGCCAGTGAGACGCCACACACAACTCGCATCCCCTCACACACTGCCCCACTAACACACATACACCCACATTGTCTCAGAGCCATCAGGTCATACATCCCCAATCATCATAATAGCAGCATTTATCGTCTGTGTCTGTCTTTTTCATTGAAATGTCTTTTACATTCAGGCCTAATTAGCCTCATTAGCGGGGACTGCGTGTATGTGTGTGTGGGCGTATGTGTGCCTGTGTGTACAGAGTGTGTGTCGGGGCTGAGCCAGCAGTGAAGAGATTGAAATAATGAGAGGGGCCGGCAGATTGAAAGGGGGCCCGGCCCCTCTTGGGGAGGTGGGAGCTTTGAGCCCGGCTGTCTGACACAAGGAGAGGGAGAAAGAAAGAGAGGGAGAGATAGAAGTAGAGAGGGAGAGGAGAAAGAGAGGTCACCTTTAGATTGTCCTGTTTGATCTGAAGGGCTGTGTTCTCTTAGTAGGAGGTATTAAGGGTGAAATAATGAGGAGGGATTTCTGAAACACCGGCTGCTGAGGAGGGACAGGAGAGGATGAGGGTAAGAAGATACAGCAGTACTTCATCTCCATAAGTCTAAAAACTGTATCTCCTTCTCCTGTCAAACTTATAAAAAATAAAAAAAATCTCAGAGTTTTATTTTGTCAACAGAAAATTATTGAAGCATATCTCTCCCTCTCTCCCTCTCTCCCTCCCTCCCTCTCTCCCTCTCTCTCTCCCTCCCTCCCTCCCTCCCTCCCTCCCTCCCTCCCTCCCTCCCTCCCTCCCTCTCTCCCTCTCTCCCTCCCTCCATTTTGGGACTCAGCAGATTTAGTTAATCTTTGCTGCTCAAATTAGTGATTACTCCGGCTCTGGGAGGGGAGAGGGTCTGAAGGCCTCCCTGTCTGAGGGAGTTTGACACCCCGTCTGTTTGGAAACATGTCTGTGGTGAGCTAAACAAATCCTCACACGTTGCTTTCAGTCTGCCGTTTCTTACGGACATTAGGGTAAAAAAATAAAACAAGTACTTACACTTTTCGGCAGGCCCCAGGATTCCTCTAGTAAGTAGGCCAGTTGCTACTTGGCTCTGTTGACTGAAACAAGTCTTAAGATTGGCTTTATAGAAGCCCGATGTCTTTCTCCAAACATAGCTCACGTTTGACTTAGGCTGTGTGCTTGTCTGCCGTACCAGAAGAATCAGCCCCCACTTTATGAACACATTAATCCACTTATTCCTACATACATGCACTTACATCACTCTTTCTCTGTGAATACGGAGAAGCTGATTTTAGCACCATATTAATGCTTGGAGCCAGTCTTCAGTTTAGTGCTGTTACCGGTGCTCGACTGGTGCCCTTGTGTGTGGCTCTGTCTGCCTGCAGGGGCCAACCCCATTGTGAATGCAGGCACACACACACACTGGTGCAGTGGCATGGTGGGCAGCCAGGGCTAATTGCCTAGATGGAGGGGGTTGGAGTGTAAATCTCACTATGTATAGGAGCTAATGACACCCATCTACTGGCACTTTATGGGCAGAGGTAGCCAGCAGAAGGCGGGCAGCGGGTGGGAGCCAGGGCACTGAGGCTGGTATTGTGATGGGGACTGAGGACTCTGAAAGAACCCTTTGTCAGCTGGCTTTCAAATTAGGCAGCTAGGGATGGAGGGAGAAAGGGAGCGGGTGGAAAGAGGAGAATCAAATCCATTAGAGGAGGAGAAAACAGAGACTCCTAAATGTGATGTGTTTGTTTCTTTTTCTGGGAAATGCGTGGCAACCCTGATTTAGTCAAGGGGATGGTTTTATCCCAAACCTCTGTCAGTTGATTTGTCATGAGACTCCTCAGACAGAGTTGGGTCGCCTTGTGATTGTTGACCTTTTTTCTCTATGAGAGATTTGGAAATATAGGTGAACGATGGGAGCTTTCAGAGATCAATTTAATTCAATAAACTGTATTCCCCATGGGCCAATTATTACTGGGGTTCAAAGTGGGAGTCTAGACAACATAAACTAGTATTGATACAGTACCCATCGGATGCAAAGGGTCTTTATGTGATAAATAATTGTCCGACAGGTTCATAAGGCGAGGCCGTTTTCATGAGGTAATGACCCCAGTGCACCCCAATAACCTTCCATGCTCAATTAATCATCCATCACAGTTAACCTATTGCTAGTAAAAGCCTATACACTACTCAGACCTATAAAACATCTAAAATGGCAGCTGTCTATGATTGACTGTCTGAGATATCCTATGAATGCATTCTCAATCCTGTAGCCTCCTCCCTTCCCCTCTCTTTCAATTGATCATGTTTAACATACTGCCGGTATACGGTGTTCATATGTCACATATAGAAGCGTCTGCCATCTGTGAGGCCCATCGACACCCAGCCAGTGACTGAAAGCCTTGGGCAGTGATAAGCCACAATTCTCTGCCACGGTGCGAGCTACAGTACAGGATTAAAGCCATACAATGGGCCAGTAACATATAAAAGGAGGCACGCGGTAATGACCGTGACTCCATTAGACTCAAGCTCTCATGTCGCAGGCTGAATCTGTGCCGCCGCCCACGCTCTTTTCAACACTCACAGAATTCCCATAGCGAGCCGCTCAAGAACTTAACTAATTCACTCACAGCCACACAAAGACGGATTCGTTATCATTACACTGTTTAGTGTCTATTCAGACATGGTAGCAGAAAACCCCTTACAGATACACTGTAGAGGACGGGGATAGACAGTGTAGTCGTGTAGCCTGCACTACTCCCTTATCTAACTGTCTGACCTGTAACATGTAACATTCACATTTTTTCTCCCCCATATACATTACATTAGTGAGCTCTGGCTTAGCCAATCAGAGTAATGAGCTGGTCATTCAGACGTGATATATGATTGGTTTTTCCGCCTCATTCGACTCTGTGGGTAGACCTCTCAGACGTTAAGCTGCCCCTTTAATTTCACAAGCTCATTTATAACTCTTAAATTAGCTGGATTATAGACCAGACGGAACGAGGGAAGGAGAAAAAAGAGTGAGAGAAAAAAAAGGGTAAGAGCTATTCTGGTGGAGGGAGAGAAGGCTGATAGTAGACAGTTTGATATGTATGCCTATTATTACACTGCTGTATCCACAGTTTATATTCTACCCTTTAACAATCAGCAACATTTGATCTAGAAAATGCTCAAGGGCAAGAATGGAGGTCCTAGAATGTCAGAGGTTGGGTTGTAGGGTTTTTATAATAGAGGAGCTCTTTGAAGGAGATGGTGAATAGTTGTAGAATGATGACAGGGACGGCGGTTCTTTCTCCCTCCTAAATATTCGCTGACATGAGCCCAATATAATAAAGGTGTCTTCTACCTTGTTGTCTCTAGTCAGGACTGTCATGAATGATCTCCTCCTGTGTTGTGATAGGGAGAGAAGGAGACCATTTTAAATAGACGCGAATATACAATAGTTGATAGAGTTTATATTGTTTACCTTTAATCAGAAACATGATCAGAAAATGCTCAGGAGAGAATGGGGAGAATGTAGAAGAGGGAAATGTAGTAGAGATAGAGGAAGAGAGAGAGAGAGAGAAGAGAGAGAGAGAGAATAGAGAGAGAGAGAGAGAGAGAGTAGAGAGCGAGAGAGTAGAGAAGAGAGCAGAGATCTCTCCTCGCATCTCGCTGACGGACGATCCGTGCTTCGATCTACCGCTGCCCTTGCTCCCGCCGCTCTCGCCTTCCCTCGCTCCGTCTCCTCTCGCCTCCTCGCTCGCGCGCTCTCTCTCTCTCTCTCTCCACATCCTCCTCTCGCTCCTTCCCTCCTCCACCCTTCCCAGTTCCGTCTGTCTCTCAGATTGATGACTATTTATAGTCACTAAAGTATGGCTCTCTTAAATACCTTTAAAAGAGCTGCCATTGACTCATAATGAAATGTGTATTTTCGTATCTGATTTAAAGGGCCGGGCTTTGAAAGTGTGTCACACTGATTTAAACCAGTAACACCAAAGTGGTTGTTCATGTTGAATCGATAGGCTGGTAGTCAGTCTGTACAACAGCGGTCAGGCATGCGCCCACGCACTACAGTTCACACTCCAGTGCACAAACACTTGCACAGACCCCCCCCCCCCCACACACACTTATGCACATACTGTACATCACACATTTATGACCCCTGGACACACACAGAAACACTCATTCACATGCATGCCCTATATCACCTCACTAGACTTACACACAAACACGACCACACACAAAGGGAAGACTAGAGAGATCGGTTCTTTTAGCTTGATCTTTTCAAAGCTTTGAACGTGACCTTGAGTGTGTTTGTCCCAGTCACAGTGACTGGGGTGTCGAATAGAATGACAATCGCTCCCAGCAAAAAGCTGGATAAAAGAATAACTATTTTCACTCAGATTCTGACAATACAGCAAGACTTCAGACCTACAGTATTCCTATAGAGCCATAGAATTGTCTCTGTACAGTATGTGTGTGGTGGGGGTTGTGAGATGGTATGTGTGATTCCCTTCCTCCTCGTGTCTCGGTAATCCAGCTGTACTGGGCTGAATCATTTCAATTTTCCTCATTCTGCTCTATAGGCTTCTCTACGTCTTCTACGGCTCTGAGCAACACAATGTCACTAGACATCTATCTGTCTTTAAACAGAGCTGGACAAGGCTGCTCCTGTCCATGTAATACATAGATCTAATTGAGTTGTTTGACCTGGAAAGAGAACTCAAGGGTGACTGTTCGATATGATTCACATCCTCTAAAATCTTAGGGATACACCGAGAGGAGAGGGGGGATGCGAAATTAAGCCAGGCAGCGAAATTAAGCCAGGCTGCGAAATTAAGCCAGGCAGCGAAATTAAGCCAGGCAGTGCTGTCATATCAGTAATCTCGCCTCGTGCCATCTGGGAATCTCGTCCCTTATCTTCTTTCCAGGGAAGGGAAATGGGAAAAGGTAAATGTGGGATTTTACGGAAACACACACCAGATATCCCATAGTATTAAGACCAACTCAGACTAACCACAGTTTCAAAGCCCACCTAATCGACAGTAGTGTTAAGCTCAAACACTTTAGGCGTCAACTCAAAGCTTTGCTGAGCCGTAAGCTGGTTAAGACTCAGTATGCTGTAAAAGGCCGTTTTAGTTGTGAAATTGGAGCTGGAGAAAGTTAAGTGTTGAGTACAGTCCCAGTATGACTGAATCAGCCGACCTCTAGAATCGACTGAGCTAGTGCTTCCGTGTCTTCTACAGCGGCACTCACTGCATCCCCTACAGAGAGACGATTAGACCAGTCAAGGACTTTTCAATAGTACTCAAACGTCCTACACGCATACAGTATACTGCACACTAGGCTTCATCTAACACACAGCTACATGCTCCTACTTACACACACATTAACATGAATGATCTGAAGCATTAGCCAAGCACACACACTCCCTGGTCAGGTGGGTTTGAGTGTGTGAGTATGGCAGCTGGTTTGTCCCTATAGTGGCAGCAGGCGGGGGGGGGGTCTTCATAAACCATACATCTGTTTATGCTAATCAGAGACCTCCCATTGACAGGGTCCTTAAAAGGTGGCACGTCAAACATCAATAAAACTAGACCCCCCATCTCCTACCCCCTGTGCGCCTGTCGCTAACACCCCCAGGGGAGGGCTCCGTCATTTGCCTGAGTAAATGTTATTCACGCAGCCACCTAACCCCCGCTGTGTAACTAAGGCTCACCTTTTCTGTCAGGGTGAGGACCTCTGGGTGGCCAGTGATGGCGAGGGCAGAGTGGGCTCTTACGGACAGCAGGGTCGAAGGTCAAAACCCTCGTTTGCATCCTAATCAGTTTGAGGAGCCTCTTAATCAGTTTGTATGGTGGTTGCTATTCATTAAAGGGGCAATCAGCCGTTGCTACCTCAAGCTCATTTTTTTCTTATAAATTAATAATATGTACCCATTGAGTCTTATATATAACATATAAATGAGCTTAGTTCAACTGTCGTACCCCAGCAGAACCCAAAATATAAGGTTGTTTTACTCATATTTGTAAACAAAGTGAATGTAAACAAACACCATATAGCCTCAAAACATGGTTAAAACTATAATTTTGATATATGTATGGTCAGTCCTTGCATCCATTGCTCTGTCTATGAATTTAAGAGTGCTTATATTTCTCCAGCCCCATCCCTCAGCTTTTTACTGAAACAGGGGCGGGGACACACTTTGTTATTGTTTCTACTGCTGATTGCCGCTTTAAGGCCAGACAGCACTGACCCTCCAGCTGAGACAACTGACCCTGGGGCCTTGGCCTGAAGAGACCTGGACCACCTGGCTATCTTTGTCTATCCTTAACATAAAAAATCCCAGTGGAGTAAATTGAAACACTACATGGCAGTTGCACAGATCTAGATTGTGTTAACATAGATGTATCTTACTCATGGACTCTACTCTTAGACTCTCTCCATTGAAAGTGCTCTTAAATCCAGAAGTGGGTCATTGCCATTAAAATGGCCTTATTTCAACCGTGTGTGCAGAAAACTGCAGTCCTGAAGCTGACCAAATTAGGTTTCTGAGAAACGTGTCACTGGTGTCACTGCTAAATTGGGGTGTGTATAGGGGAAGCTGAATTACATTGCTGGATATTGTTGATATGGTTCAACTAACATTTGTCAGAATGTCTCGTATGGGACTTGAGCACAGCGGTCATGTAATTTACATTTAACAGATAAGCAGGCAAGAGCCCTTCTACATTTCAAATTTCCTCATTATAGTCATTATATTATAGAGCAGGCGTACTCAAGTACTATTTGAGAAGGTCCAGTGACACAAATTTCCTAGGTGGCAAAAGGTCCGGATGGATATCGTCCTTTATCGGCGCTGTGGTACAGCGTAGTAACAAACACAGTGGTCTCCCGAGTGGCGCAGTGCTAGCTGTGCCACTAGAGATCCTGGTTCGAATCCAGGCTCTGTCGTTGCCGGCCGCGACTGGGAGACCCATGGGGGGGGCGCACAATTGGCCCAGCGTCGTCCAGGTAGGGGAGGGAATGCCGGCAGGGATGTAGCATCAGTGCTAGAGCATGGCGTTTGCAACGCCAGGGTTGTGGGTTCGATTCCCACGGAGAGTGAAAAATAATATATGCCTGGAAAGCGTCTTGCAAAAGACTAAAGTAAAATGTAAGTTGTCTACGACTTAAGAAACGTTGTTTTATAAAATCTACATTAATGAGACAAAAAGTTTGAATTATTACAACTTATTTCGAATGTAAACATGTGAAACATTGTATCAACATTGCTGAAGAAAAAGTGGTTGCATAATTGTCTATTCAAAGTCACTGTGAACCATTGTACATGGGCCTTGATTAAATATATATTTTTTAGAAATAAAAAAGTGCAATGTTTTTCTGGAGAACAAGACAAAACTAATCATCTGAATGCGCAGACGTCACTGTTGCCATCAATATTCATGTAAATCAACTCTGGGCCTTGTAATTGTCATGTCAGAAATGACACTTTGTCTCCTGCCAATGCTTTGAACTTTGGCACAAATGGTGTGAGAGCAACTCTGAGACACTGGTGCAGGTATTCATTGGTGAGCCTGGTGCTGTATTTTTTTTTTTATAGTTAATTGTGCAGAAGGCTGATTCACAGCTGTATGTGAAGCCAAACATGGTCAGGATGTCTAGCGCCAGTTTCTTGAGAACAGAGACATCAGCTGTAGGCACCATCTTTCCCCAGAAAGTGACAAGGTCACAATCACCAGCGTGCTCCTTCATTTCAAAGCAACATTTTCTTGCAGCTCAATCAACTCCACTTGCAGTGATGCAACATCTACCCATCTGAAGATCTGTTTTGCTTCTTCTGACATCTTTGTCACATTTGTGACCAAGAAGGGGTTCTGGATGAGCAGCAGCAGTTATTTTCCAACAGTGAAGTCATCAAAGTGAGCCTTGAAGTTCTCCATCAACTTCTGGATGAAAAACGTCTCCCTGCATTTGCACCAGAAGATTGGGGAAGTGGACAAGTTCTCCCTGGAGATCATTCTTGAAAAGCTCCAATTTCTTCTGGAAAGCCCAGACTGCTGTTATCATATCACACACTGTGTTGTCCCGTCCCTGCAGCTTAACATTCACTTGATTAAGATGTGATGTAATGTCTGTCAAAAATGCAACTGTTTCCATCTTCTCCTCATCTTCCAAAAACACAGAAAACTGAGTTGCCTTGTCACTCTTTTGCTCTGATAAGAAAGCTTTGATTTCCTCCTGAATGGCCCAAAAGCGTTCCAAAACACTGCCTTTGCTGAGCCATCTGACGTTGTTGTGCAGTAGTAAGTCATCAAAACTGGCATTGGCCTCTGTCAGAATGCCTCATAACAGGCGGTGTTGTAGGTATGATGTTGCTCTCAAAAGGTTGATCAGTTTCATCATCGTTGTCATGACTTCAGAATACTCTTTTCCCAGACTGGCACACAGGACAGATTGATGGATGATGCAGTGATATGATGTCAGGTCAGGGTGGTCCTCTTTCAAACGTGCAACTAGTCCCCTCCCTGTTCCTATCATGGCTGGAGCTCCATATGTGGTGATGGAGACCACTGACTTCAGATCTATCCCCCTTTTTGTCAGAATCCCTTTGATGGCCTCATGGATATCCTCTCCCAGTGTGTGTGCATCTAGATGTGTTAAGCACAACAGCTCCTCACAGAATTCTTTCTTTGTTTCGTTATAAAATCTGACAAACACCAGAAGCTGGGCATTATCAGTGTTATCTGTTGATTCATCCACAGCTAATGAAATGCATGGTGCATTCTGAATGGCCTCATCAAGTTGTGAAGTTAAATCTTCAGCTAATATTTAAGTTATTCTCATTGCTGTGGAATCTGACAGTGGGATCTGTTGGATCTTTTCCCTGAGCTCATCTTTTTGTTTACCTTCAAGCAAGGTGTCAGCAGCTTCACAAATGCCTGCTTTTACCATCTCAGCGTCTGAAAATGTTTTTTTTTGCCGTTTTCCCAAAACCCAAGCTATCCTCAGTGAACACTCCATTGCACGTTGTTGGGCTGTCAGGGAATAGACAAGGACTTTGATGGAGCTCTCATTTTTGGGATTTGAGTTGGTTAATCTGGTTTGTTCTCACCTATGTGTTCAGGGGATACGTCTGATCCAATTTACTATGCCTGGTGTCATAATGGCGCTTAACATTGGCACTTTTCACGAGAGCTACGGACTCACTGCTTATCAGGCACATTGGTTTTGTGCTAGTTGCGGGGAGAATGAATAAATACTGTTCCAGCCACTCGTCTTTGAATATACGTATTATATTATAATAATATTACACCATATATATTTTCAGAGTCAACTTTTTTTTTTAACAAGCCATATTAACAAAGATACTGGTAACTATGCTCCGTCTATCTGTGATATTTACAGTTGAACCGCGGTCAAATCTTTCTGTTTCTTTCTGCCTGCTTGTCCCAAGGTTCCGCAGAGGATATTTTGATTATGTGATTGGGTAAGACATGGCCTCTTGTATTTGCATATAACCACAAGATTGGAATAGACGGGGCACTAGTAGAGGCGGGCATTGCTTCGAGAGAGAGACAGCGAGAAAGAGAGGTTGCTGAGTTAAAGAGGCCGCTGTGCCCGGTTGATTTTTTAAAGCTGTCTAAAAATAATGTGTTGACTTTTATATAACAAAATGCGATGTTGTCCGGTCCGGATTGACCCTTCTCTGGGTCCGGACTCGGACCGTGGTCCGCCAGTTGAGTTTGGCTGTTATAGAGCCTAACCCTTCAGTTACTTTTTAGCCTCAAACTGTCTTTTTAAGTGTAGCCTACCATCTACAGTAAGTTTGTTAATCAGTACTGAAAGAGTGTGGAGGATTGAAAACCAGAAAAGCGAAAAACACTAACATTCAAGTGCACTGTCAAGTAAGTCTAGACTCTAGGTAATAGTTTAGCTACAGTAGTTGTATGGGCGATTGTACAGATTTGTTCAGTCCTTTCTGCCTTCACAGCAGTAGAGATGTAATTACAGTATTGTAAAGTAGGTCTGATCTTGTATGGTAAAACATGCATTATTCATTAGTGCACCATCATTTTCACACAGGCACTATAGACTACGCCCAAGCTCATTATACATGCACACTGTCTCATGAATATCCATGAGCCTTCACCCAACCATCAGCATCAATCGGGCGCTGCACTTGGTGATTAATTATTACACAGCGCTAATGAGGAGCATGTTCTTCCTTCTCCAGGGATTTTGCTTTGCTCTGAAGATGTAATGGCATCTGTAAGCTAAGCTAATAATGGCATGAAGTCCTATTAGATGGGTAATGGAGAGTAAAAAAAGTAAAATTGGTTGATTGTGTTAAAGTGATGAGTCAAATTACTGAGATGTTTTCGGAGAATACATTTCGTACTCTTTACGCACGCACGCACGCACACAAACAGAATCAAAGAGAGCACACTGCACAGCTGAACACACACTCACTCTCAAAGTCAATGCATTCATGCACAAAACTGATAACTACAGAGAACAGATTGCACATGCTCTCTTTCAAAGTCACTCACACATACATTCAGAGTAAGCACCACACACACACCCCTTTGCTGAGTATCTCCTTACTGTAAAGCTTTTATATAGCCTAACTGTCAGACTCAGGTTTCCTGCATTTGTCAGATAAGGGCCGACTGGCTGGGGTGGGTAGTGATGGGGGGCGACAGTGGGAGGTTTAGGGGGGTGGTAGGGGAGTTGATCGAGTCTACCGGAGGGGAAGGAAGGGGTATGGAGGAGGACAGACAGGGACAGTGAGGACACAGGCTGACCGCTCTGCAGGGCTTATCTGATCCTGTTGGCTTTGAGCCTGTCAGTCTGTCACTGCAGGAGGAGGGGGGCAGGGAGAGATCTCTGACTCGTTTACTGTGCCTTCCTGTCTCAGGAGCTTTTGTCACCATCTGGGAGATAAGTGTGGTGCTCTCGCCGTGGTGCCATCAGAGCTGGCAGACAGGCACCCCGTGGCCAGACGCCCATAGAGAAACCTGGCACCTGGAGACACACACACACACACACACACACACACACACACACACACACACACACACACACACATTGTATACACGCTGAGCAAGGCTAGATGGGTGCACATACTAATCTAGGCAGATTGGCTGTATTAGAACGCTCGCACAAAAGCCAAAAATATGGTTCACTGACAATATTTCTTATTTTTTGTCCCTCTCTCTCCATCCCTCTCTCCTCTTCTCCTTCGGTCCCTGTCATTCGCTCCTACAGAACAGCCAGGTGGTGGAGCTGCAACGGACCAGTCTGCGTGATGACATCAAGGAGTATAAATTCCGGGAGGCACGTCTGCTGCAGGACTACACAGAGCTGGAGGAGGAGAACATCTCCCTGCAGAAACAGGTCTCCGTGCTCAAACAGACCCAGGTAAGGATCAACACAACCACACTGGGAGAGGGGTGGGAAGGGGTGGGCTGTGGGGCATGGGGGATGGTAAGGAGAATGGGAAAGGGAACATCTTCCTCCAGAAACAGGTCTCCTTGCTCAAACAGAGGATTAGGGTGGGGCTAGATGGAATGGGGAAGGGGAAGGAAAATGTTAAAAGATCAACCCACCTTTTATATGTACTCCCTCACTTCTGCAGGCTACTCCTCCACTCACACTTCATTATGAACCCCTCCTCACTGCAATTATCTGCATTTAGCTGAATCTGCTCATTAGGCCCAGTTAACCAAATAGCTGCAGGCTCTTTGAACCTATGCTTTGTGCTACTGTCTACTACACATCCCAGTCTATGTGCAACCTCCAGTTTTCCATGTTCACACACCATAGACCTCTACCTGTATTATCCTGTGTCTGCTGCCACAGCCCAAACAAGCCCTGGAATACACTGATTTAATTCAGATTAGAGAAACCACGCTCAGATGTTATAAAGAGATTAAGCTTTATGTGGGGGCCTATTTGCGCCCGGAGAGAGGGGGAGCGTGTCTGATTTTAACACAGTTTAAAGGGTGTGTTTCTGATAGCTAGCTTTCCCTCTCCATAGACCACAGAGACACCGAGAGAGAGACGTAGAGTTGCAAAGCAAATACTCTGATTTTAATTCACACCGATGGTAAGAGTAAAACCAGACACAAAATATAAGAGAATCTACAAATAGGGGATTTCCTTTTGAAATAGATTTTTATGTGGGAACCGCTAACAATCTCTGTCTGCCCTATATGCAGGGATTATGTTTGTTAAATTTAGAGGCATGAATTTAAAACAAAGACCTGTAGGCTATAGTTTTGATTGGCCAATTACAGTACCAAATCCTATTTAGATTAAAAGGCAATTTTACACTTTTAAAATCCCCCTTTTTATGGAGACAAAATGAGTTGATTAAACCAGTATGGCATCCTATTTGCATTTCTCTCATCTAATCCCCGCCCTTCTACTTTGATTGACACATTCTTGTCTGTCCCGCCCCTACAGGTGGAGTTTGAGGGTCTGAAGCACGAGATTCGTCGTCTGGAGGAGGATACCCAGTTCCTGAACAGCCAATTGGAGGACGCCATCCGCCTGAAGGAGATTGCCGAGCGACAGCTAGGGGAAGCACTGGAGACCATCAAGACTGAGCGCGAGCACAAGGCCGCCCTGAGGAAAGAGCTCTCCCACTACATGAGCATAGGAGACTCTATGTACCACAGGTACACACACAATCAAAGTCACACCTCATGCATCCACCAAAGCCTTAGACAATATAATATAATAATATTGAACTGTTATGAGAATAACAGTGAACTTCATGTTTTCGTGTTCTCATGTTCTGGGACTCTCCCTCTCACCAGCCCCCTCAGCATCTCTCTGGATGGACTCAAGTTCAGCGATGACGCTGCCACGGAACCCAACAACGACGAGGCTCTCCATGGTTACGAGAACGGCTTCAGCAAGCTGGCCAACGCCATCGCTGAGGACAACCGTGCGTTCGCGCCCAAGAAGGGTGACCTGTTCCGTCCCGTCCCCAGCCTGGTAGACGACCTGCTGAGTGAACTGAACATCTCTGAGATCCAGAAACTCAAACAGCAGCTGCTGCAGGTACGTAGCTACACTCTACGAACCGTTCATTCATTGAGTCTGTCTGTGTTCACTGTGTACGATAGGGTTAACAGTGAGGAATATCCAGCTGCTGCAGGTCATTCATTCAGTGAATCGGTTTACACTGTGCATGATATGAATGACACCAAGGTTTGAATTATACAATACACATTGATACTCAAATAATGTTCAAAACAAACTTTGATAGCCAAGTGGGTCCAGTGGCTCTTTCGGCCAGGCTGCACACCTCTCAATCCTGTTAGGGGTAGCTAATCCTGTAGGACACACCCCCAGGACACACACACACACACACACACACACACAGACAGCATTAGGTCATTGAGGCATGAGGTGCCATCTGTCAGAACATCAGAACGCCTCAGCTGTCTTCATGGTTAAGCAGTGTGTGTACTGGTTGGATACCTGTGGGTGAAAAGACTAAAGACCTTAGGACCAAACACAATGATGTTTTAATGTTGTCCCAGGGTTGCCTAGATGTTACCATAGTGTTGCTTTAGTATAAGTACCTTGACATTTAACCTGTTCTGGTCCTTTGATACTGAATCTCATGGGCAGCAGCAGGTGTTGGTGTTCAGCATTAAGCCAACATAGTGTCAACAAGCCCTCTAGGTCTCTTCTCCTCTGGCAGCCCATTCCACAGATTACTGGCGTGAATCGCAACAGGGAAACCCAAACCTTCTTACTCAATAATTCAGCTGCCCCGATGCTCTTCTCTCTCCTCATCCTATCCATCACAGACTGAATAATCAATCCCAGACATTCGCTCGCAGCGGGTCACCCTACTCCTCAATTGCAGCAGAATCCATACCTCCACTGTGCAATCAGATCCAAAATGGCTGCCGTGGGAGTATGATGCCCACTCATGTGTAACAGTTGCCCTGTTACACAGTAGGCCCATTGGCCCACATGCCTTTTACACATTTAAGTCAGGTCAGTCTGCATTAGAGGATGGAAGATGAGTCCCAGCTGTAACTATAATGCTTAACATCTACTCTGAGGAAGTAATTTGATTTAAGACACACCTCAAGCTTGGCATTACCAACAAGTTTGTCAAGGTCATTAACGAGAATTAGGGAGGGGGACAGATTAGGTGGAGAAGGGAGGTGGGGTATGGCAAGTGGTATTCTTAATGTTAATATCATCACATAATTATGTTTTTATATACTGTGCTTAAAAGATACAGTATGCTGAGAGTAACCTCCCTATACCCGTCTTGTATTCTAAATCGATATGAATCCAACCATTTTCTCTTTTTAAGCCCCGTCATCGAGGTATATTAATCACAGCTGAATAATAGATTAAGGTGAACAGGAATGCGATAGTCATTTTTGACACACACCCAGCCTCTGAAAATAGCTCTGTGCTGCCGAGGCCTGCACTACTCTGTGTGAGCGCTTACGTGTGTAAGTGGACCTTGGTCCCTCTGTCAACAAAGAATTGAACCCAGTCCAGACTTCTCCAAGGTCACCTAGGCTCTGAATTAGCAGTTCTCTCCTCTCTCTCTCTCTCTCTGATGCTGTGGTTGGTTGGGCACAGAGACACACTGTCTTTGGTAACATACTGCAGCCCCCTCAGTTAGCCCCTAAAACCTCCAGAGATGTTATCTGTTCTTTTGAAAAACAGCCACCTTCATCATCCATTAGGTAGAGAGGAAGAGGGATAGACAAAACACAATGAAGTAGGAAGATTATACCTGCATAATTATGCCTAAATGGTCATCTGTTTATCATTTGCGTCAGTCTTTTTTCTGTCCGGACACATGTAACATTACTTACCTTACCAAATGAATACATCTGTCTTATGCTCCGTCTCCCCCCGTCTAGATGGAGCGTGAGAAGGTGTCTCTGATGTCCACCCTGCAGGACTCTCAGAAGCAGCTGGAGCAAGCCCACGGGGCCCTGGAGGAGCACCAGGAGAAGGTCAGCCGCCTCAGCGAGAACCTCAACGCCATCCGGAGGCTCAAGGCCAGCAAGGAGCGCCAGTCAGCCCTGGACAACGAGAAGGAGCGCGACAGCAACGACGACGGAGACTACTACGAGGTGGACATCAACGGACCCGAGATCCTGGAGTGCAAGTACAAGGTAATTGAACATGTATACACACACACAGAGATGTTGAAGCTACTGAATTCCTAAAACTCTGACTATTCCTAAAACTCTGCCTCTGGTTGTCTCAGGTTGCAGTGTCCGAGGCAGGTGAGCTGAAGGAGGAGTTGAAGACCCTGAAGGCAGAGTACCAGTCCTGTCAGTCACGCTACGAGGAGGAGCGAGGCCGTCTGGAGACTGATGTCACGGCCCTGGGAGAGAAACTGGCCTCCCTGGAGAAGACCAGCCACGTGGAGAGAGAGGAGAAGGCCATGCTGACGAAGGAGCTGCGCAAGGTGAGAAACACCCTCCATGATACAGCACTCCTGATGTCTTAGGGTAGTTCATGTTTTTGTTGTGGTGTTATATTGATGAATGGTTATCTGTAGTTGATTTGTCACTTTTCTCTGTGTATGGATTGTTTGTATTGTTGTCCTCACACTTGCAAACCAGATTTCTCGCTACAATTAAATGGTATTAATTGACAAAGTTTGTCTTTCTATCTGTAAAGGTGAGTGACGTTGCGGGCGAGTCCCAGGGCAGCCTGAGCGTGGCGCAGGACGAGCTGGTCACCTTCAGTGAAGAGCTGGCCAACCTCTATAACCACGTATGCATGTGCAACAACGAAACTCCCAACCGCGTCATGCTCGACTTCTACAAGGAGGGCAAAGGCGGGCGCACGAGTCCCGAGGGTCGCGGCCGCCGCTCCCCCATCCTGCTCACCAAGGGCCTGTTCCCCGTCCCCGAAGCTGCCGACAGCGCCCCGTCCCCTGTCTCCTCTCCCCCCTCGCCACGGGAGCCAATGAACGTGTACAACCTGGTGGCCATCATCCGGGACCAGATCAAGCACCTGCAGCTGGCGGTGGACCGCACCACAGAGCTGTCCCGTCAGAGGGTGGCATCCCTGGAGCTGGGCGCCGTGGCTGATAAGGACAAGGAGGCCTGCATGGAGGAGATCCTCAAACTCAAGTCCCTGCTCAGCACCAAGAGGGAACAGATCGCTACACTGAGGACCGTGCTCAAAGCCAACAAGCAGGTCAGATACTGAATCTCTCTGTTTCTATCTCCCTCCCCTAAGAATCAGTCAGGAGACTGAGGCAGGGAGGTGGCTGTCTAAAGCCTCTTCAGCTGTCGCAGCAAATGCACTGCAGCCAAGATTCATAACAAAACAACATGTAGAGACAGCTAGTGGCTGTGGGTGTGTGTCTGTATCTGTGTGTGATAGAGTTAAAAAAAGATGAAAGCTCACTAAAGCAGACACTCCCTGCCAGCCTTTATGACATAAAGCTGCAGGAAAAATACTAAAAATGACCCATTTTAGTTGGTCTGACCCGTTGTTGTGTTGTGTGCCCCCTGCAGACGGCTGAGGTGGCGCTGGCCAACCTGAAGAGTAAATATGAGAACGAGAAGGCCATGGTGACGGAGACCATGATGAAGCTGAGGAACGAGCTCAAGGCCCTGAAGGAGGACGCCGCCACCTTCTCCTCGCTCCGAGCCATGTTCGCCACACGGTAAGAGGAATACATTATCACACTCCTCGTTTAAAACATGTTAGGAACTAGTGATGGGAGAAAAATTATTATTCTTTTGGGACGATATTATATCAATATTTGACTCCCAAGTATTGATTTGTAAAAAACTAAATGTAAAAGCTTGCACTAGTCAGCTGTACCTGCGCCAAAACTCCAGTATTTTTCATCCTATAGCTTGTTCTCCATCTTCTTTTTAAATAGTGAGCCAACATGTTTTCAGAACATTTATTTCCCTGACTGACAAACTAATTTTCTCATGCTCTCTCTTGTCTCTCTGCAACAGACATATAGTGAGCAATATGTTTGGAACATCAAATCGCAATATCGAATCGCAATACATATAGAATCATGAGAATCACAATACATATCGTATTGGCACCTAAGTATTGTTTTAATATCGTATCGCGAGGTCCCTGGGCAATTCCCAGCCCTATTAGGAACACACTATTAGAATCCTAGTTTAAAACACACATTCAAAACATGTTATCACACACCTTGGCCACACAGAAAGAGAGTAGTCAGTCACCCATGATCCAAGAACACGCCTTGACACATGCTCTGTCTGTATACTATAACAGATTCATCTGTGCATATGAGATTAGGCTCTCTCGTTCCTTTATGCTTTGTTTGCCACACTACAAGACAAGTACCATAGCTAGTTCACCTACAGAAATAAGCCCACTGTACCAAAAGAAAAGCACCAGCTCCAATCGACATTACAAGAGTAATACACTGCATAACAATAACAGTAATATCATTACAATATGATGTTTACATACACTTATATTGTTTACATACATATGTATTTAGCCTATTAAAACGCTGTCGCCATGAGATGAAATGGAAAGATTTATTGAGTGTTGTTTTTCTCTGTGAATCTGGGCCAGTGGAGGACGCCCATACGACGGCCACATCTCTAATCTGTATGATAATTACTATGCTGGAGAAGCAGTGTTTTATATGATCAGTGACTGCTTATCAGATGGAGGGGCTACGTTAACCCCTTGCTGGCTAAACCTGCTGATTCCCATAAGAAGCAGGTCAAAGGTTCTCCTTATAATCCCTACCCCGGCCTGGTCTGGATAACTACCTCAGATACAATGTACCGTAGTCTCACTGTACTGTAGTCTTCCTCATGAAGGAGTGTGTTTGTGTGTGTGTGTGTGTGGGGGGGGGGGGGGGGGGGTCTATGTTAGTGGGAATATGACAGTGACTATGAATGTGTGTGCAATGTGTGTACACTATATACACTATATACATGCATGTAGCCCACTGCACATTCTTGTGGTACTTTGTTTGGGCTGTTGTTTCGATGTGGAGCTCAGTGCGTCCTCCCTTCTCCTGCAAACCCTCCCTGAACCAGATGGCAACGCTGAGGCAGTCTCTCTCTGTCTTTAAGACTCCTCCGCTTACAGCAAAGCTCATATCAAGCTGTGCAGAAAGGAGAGGAGAGGGCAGTAGAGGAGGGAGGGTTGCGCCATCCGTAGACAGTGTGCACTCAGCACCCCTCATATTTACAGTGGAGTAATGCTACAGTATATCTACACTCCCAGTCCATTACCTGGTCTTATTGAGTAACTCTATATAACTGTAGTAGCTAATGGATTAGCATGGCGGAGGAAACTGTCTTCCTCTGCAAATATGGGTGTGTTTCTCTTGCCCTAACAATTTGGTGCAGTGCAGGGCCAGATGGTCTGTTGATGCGGGTGTTAAGCCATCCCTCTGAAGACATGAGAGGAAATCAGCTCTCACTGAGCACCTCTGAGGAAGTCATTTTGAAAATAACTGACATTGTGCTTAGAATAGCTTTCACTGACCAATCAGTTTTCAAACCAAGTGTTCTTTAAGAGGTACTGGCTATTAACAGCAGAACGAGGGTGTTAGATATGATACAGAGGAAAATGGCAGCGCCAGAGAGTGTGCATTTCCCTTGTCTCCCTCCTTGTCCCTCTTTACTGTTGTAAGAGACTGAAGATGCTCATAACACAACAAAACAAAACAAAACATAGCTCAACTCTGCTCAGGGGGCCACAGGAAATTGGTACTTAGCCTCTCCCTCAGTCTTTACATTGTATGGTGATTTCTATATGCCTTAGATAGAATGTTCTGGTTTTGTTATCCCCTATATTATGGTTGTCACGATACCAGTATCGCGATACTACGATGGCAAAAAGCACCAATCAGGACTAAATTCTTTGGTCCTTTGAAAAACTGTAAAATATTGTGCTATAGGAAATCAATCCGCTTCATGTTTTGTTTCCTTGCCACGATAACGCTGAGTTTCGCGATACTGGTATCGTGACAACCCTAACCTATATAGTGCACTATAGGGAATAGGGATCCATTTTGGACTTGGCCTCAGTATGTTCTGGGCTGTGTACAGCCTGGGTATTGGTGGTGGTGTTCATTCAGGTCATTCTGGAGCCTGTATGTTATTGATATGCTAATTTTGGCCTATAGAATGATGTTGGGGAAGGAGGAGGAGGGGGGAGGCCTCTTTTGAGAGGCTTTAAGAGGCAGAGGGACGTGATTGACCCACGTTTCCCACACTCCCCCCGTTTCTTCCCTCGCTCCCCTCATCCGTCCTCCATCCTCACAGCAATACACAAGGCCCTCTACCCTATAGAGAGAGAGGGATCGAGGGGGTGTCTTTCATTTCAGCTTCTCTACAGGGGCTTCATTTGAGAGTCTTTCTCATGGTTATTCCATCTTTGACATACTCTGTCGACTTAAATGTAGATTTTGGGATTTCTGAGATTTTCAGTGGACTGCCTCAGTTTCGAGTGTGTGGCCTGAATGGAGTGGGACTGAATGAATGTGCAAATCTTTGTGTGACCCTTTTGTATAATGCAAGCTCCTAATATGTGTGTTTTATGTCGGTTTGTATGTCTCCATCTTGTGTGTGTGTACAGTAAGATCCTGTCTCTTACATTCCTAAGACCAGTGCTTAATTTGTAAATTGGGAGGTGCCGGAACAAAAAGTGAGTGTGAGAGGTGGGTGGGGGAGTTCTGAGGTACCGGAACGCATAAGAAAAAAAAGTAACCTTTATATTAAAGCGTTGCATGCATAGCATCACATTTGCATAGTGGCATAGAGCAGTAGAGTAGAGACAACAATGGGGAACATTTTTAGTAGCCTAGGGTCTGGGAATTTTTTTGCCTTTTATAAACGCATTTCATGCAATTGTACCTCTTTTAACATGACTGGAGACACTACTCTGAATGTGGAGACTGTTCTTCTACAAAGGGCCAGCCGCCACCCAGGGCCATTGTGGCCCTCCAGCCCCTCTATCAGGCCAAGAAGGGCACCATTGTATCCCCTCATCCCTAGAATGGAACCCCGTCTTTTTTCCCGGGAAAACCCACGCCCTCTTACGCCCTCCACCCAGCATGGCTGGTCCATCTTAAAGGGCACTGCGACCCCTGGGAAACCGCCCACCCCATTCGCCATCTCAAACTGGGTCAAATTAAGCTGCACTGATCCCCTTTGTCTGGGTGTGTCCCCCAGTGGGAATCCGACTGCACGCCCACGAGGGGGGGCTGGGTTTGTGTTTGTGTATGTGTATGTGGGGGGAGAGGG